TTCCTGCTGCTTTCTTTTGAGTATCACTTCGTTGCCTCAAATTGAGGGAGAGGTTGTGACAACTCGAAGCTGCCAAAAAGGAGGTCAGCATTGAGGTGTTGGGTGTCTGAGTGCTAGGAAACAGAAGAGGGCTGGAGGCACATCAGAACGGATCCTCATTTTGCATAACACCATTTGGGATCAGGTGGATGGCCTGGTGCCATTGGAATGGGCTGTGGGAGACCTGGCTCCACTCCTCAGCTCAGTTGCAAACTTCCTGTGGGATCTCTGGCAAGCCATTTTATTTATCCCACTGATGAGTTTTCTGGACTGTGGGGTACAATAAAGCAGAAATAAAATCCATTAGTCATTGCTGTGTTACATTACAGGACTAGGACTGCAAAAAGAGCCCACTACCAGCTAATTAGGTTCCAAATCTTCCCATCAAAATTAATGGGAAACAAGCACACTACATAGCAAGTAGGAGCCAATTTATTTGAGTAAATTGAGACTCTGGATTTCACAATGACTTATTTCATGCAAGGATCTGTTCGGCTGATAAGGAAGATAGGACCAGTGGGTGATCCTGGCACTACCTCTTGGACCTCCCATTTTATCTTCTATTAGTATTTTCCAAGAAGTGATGATAAACCCTGAGGCACAGAGCTCTTTCTGAGGTCCTGAAGATACCTCTATCTTCATGTCTTACCTGGCTCTGCAGGTGATTTCACAAGCAGAGTGTTCCTTAGGGCACTATTTCTTGGAGGGAGGAGAAGATGGGTTGGTTTGTAGTGCAGAGCCTTACGACGTGTGTGACTAATAAAACTGAGAATAAAGCAAGTTCCAGAGTTAAAGTCAACTGTATGTACAGAATGAACTGGAAGCAGGGAGCATGTCAGTGCAGAAGATGGGAGTGTAGGATGTTGGTAGCTTGTAGAGAGGCTAATTGAGTACTGTGTAATATCCCCTTACATTTTTTGTGCACGTCACAGTTTTCTTTGGAGCCAGCAGTGAAACCTTGAAACTCTCCAGTAATGTTACAGAGAGTACTCCAAGCAGTAAAGTGCTAAAAACCTCAGTTTTGATGTACTGTGTGTAGTCCTCTGTTTGCTTACATCTTCTTGATCCCCTGTTTGCAGCTTGTGCTTGTTGTTTTCAGAACCCCACTGCATGGGACACGACCTGAACTGCTTCACTTAACAAAAGCAAATAGTTGGAGCAGTTATTTTGTTGTTTTTTATGATAAATGAAATGCCAAGTTTTCCATCTTTGCTTTTTCTCATGGCCCTTTAACCCATGTGGTAGGCTTATTTAGGGAACAAGACAAGCCTGGATGCAGTCCCAGAGTTTGCAGTAGCTTCAGATGCCCCTCCAAAGGTTAGGATACTTCACAGGGGATTTGTTCTGCAACAGAGAGGCTAAAAGGAAACCCATGCTAGTTACTTTTTGCTTTTGATTCTGTCCTAGCACTGCCCTGAAAACCAAGCAAGAGAAAATTTACAGAGGCAGCATTGTTGCTACTGGGTCTGTAATCCCATATTTTCTACTGTAGCCTCATAGCAGAACTTCAAAATGCTTGCAGGAAACATTTCACATGCAGTATGATTGTTCCTATTTCTACACCTTTCCAGTAAGAAAAGCTGTATTATGCCTTTCACATGAAAATGCAACTGTTTAACTTTAGATATGGTTCTCTGTCACGGTGTGTGTGTGCACTGATTCTGGGGGCTTTCAGTAAAATGGATATTAGAATTAAACTGTGTATACTTATACATGACATTTAGCTATGTCTATATCTTCCCTGCCTTATGCCCTTGCAGTTGGATTAACAGGAGTTACCTTAGACTAATTGCAACAGCATTTGGTTTGTGCATATGACCAGCACAGATTTATATGTATAGAACAGTGACATTGATGCAAATAACATACCTGAGGTTTAATTTTTTGTTTCCTCTTCTAGGATATGAGGATGTTTCAGAGACAAACTTGAGATCTTATAGTGTTCGTTCTGCTAAACATGTGCAAGAGAATCGTCCTGTGCCCATTCGCAGAAAAAGAAGCATTGGTAAGGAACAAGCTGTTTGTATTGGGGAGTGAAAGCAGAGGGGGTGATTCTGGTCAGCCAAGCAGGACATTTCAGTGGAAAAATGTGACACACACAAAGGGAAAAAAGGCCATTTCTCCTTTCTGTCTTTCTTCTTGCACAAAACGAGCCGTTGCCTGAGCTGTCTCCTGGAGGATGTCCATAGGAGACAGACAAGCACAAATTCTTTACATTCACTTTCTTGTTGCAGCATGTTGGAAAGTTAGGGCTCAGTTAGAAAATGCTGTGATATTCGATGTATAATTCATAGTGTGGGGAACAACTACAGCAGTGTGCTTTAAAAAACATCAACAGTTGGTAGAGTTTTCAGTACAGAAGCTCCACAAAAGGAAACAGCTTGACTCTTGATTCACAAGAGAAGTACAGTTGAGCCCCAAAATTAAAAGCCATTGATGGAAGTGCTGGGGCATTGATTTCTGTCATTGCATAGGGCACCGGGCATGTTTACAGAGGATTTTATTCTGATTAAACAGTAATGCTGGTGATCCAGCAAGGCCCAAATATAAATGTAAAGAGCTGCTAGACTAGGATTTGTATGCCATGCTCGTTCATCTGATTAGGTCTGAGTGTTCTACCATGCCATTTGCAGAAAACATCCATGATCTTCTCTATTATGGGTAATTCAGAGTCAGTGTATTTGTACTGGGAGCTGTGGGGGGACGCAGAGATAGCACAGTATGCTGTCAGCATGGATTTGCAGTGTGAATTGGCAGGCAGGCTCGGCACATTGAATGCCTCTAGAGAACAGCGGTTCTGAAACAGTCTGCTACACTTGGCACCTTACCCTGCAAGGTGTTGAATGCCTCCCCATAAAAGTCAGTGGGAACTGGATATGCTCAATAACTTGGAGGAGTTGCCAGCTATCTTGCAGTATTGGATCCGTTAATTTTCTTGAGTTCATGGCACTGGGGATTGAGGGAAAGAATTTTCACTCTATTTAGTCTATTGAAGTGCATCTCTTTCAAAACTAAGCCTAGATTTTCATGTAACAGGCACAGGCCAGGCCTGAACTTCTTGCACTTCAGAAGTAACTGAAGAAGTGCAGGCAGTGTTCCAGTTCCCTGACACATCTAACCCAAAGCTAGCACTGCTTCCACTGTAAGGCAAAAAAAAGAAGAAATCCAAGCTGTCTTTGGAGGACTTAGCATCAAACAACTTGTCCCTGCAATTGCTATTTTTTTCTGGACTGTTTTGAAATATCAGCTTGACCTCTTAGGCAGTCCCTGGGTTGAGAAGGATACATGGTTTGGGTCATGGTGGTATCACACAGTAGTACAGAGGTACTCTTTACAATCCTCATGTGGCTGAAGCTATGGCCTACAAGCTCACCTTACCTGAGCCCAGTAGGTTTTTACGTCATGCTACTCTTGTGGGTTTTGCCTCATTCAAGAAGTTACAAATTAAATCAAACCCACCATATTTGAAGCTTTGTAACTTCACACCAAATGGCAGTAGCCCCTTGGAATGGTGGATGGACCAGACCCTCTGGTGTGAGGATGTTAAGGTTTTGGAAGTGGGAAAACAAAGCTTGACTGTTTCAGGCTGGTGCAGGTTATTTCTCAGCTGAACCAGTTTGGGTAGGATACAGATCCTCAATGCAATTTCTGAGAGGCTGTTTACCAGGTATTCGATGCTTGTGTGATAGTATGTGTGTGCAGCGATCACCCCAACGCTGGAAAACAGCAGCTGCTGTTACACAGTGGCTGTGAGGCTGTATTAGAGGCTCATCTACTCTGGAGGCTTGCTGTCACTCCTAAAGAGCCAGGATTGTCTTATCTAGTGGTATGTGCTCCGAGCTATGTTGGCAGCCAGACCATTGTAAACCCTCATTTTAGGGCTGGGCCGTTGGGCTCCCTGGGGTAGCACACACAGTTTAGTGGTAGGCAAACAGTACTCAGCACCAACTTGTCAGTAAGCAGTGTGAACTGAGAGCACCATCACAGCTAAAGGTGCCATTTCTGTCTGGTGTGAAGTATCTGGGTGCTGTGAGGTGGGAGGAGCTGCTCACCTGGAGGTGTGACTCTCTTGTGTCCGCAGAGGAAGCCATCCCGGCTGTCTGCAAAACACGGACGGTTATATACGAGATACCTCGGAGTCAGATCGATCCCACCTCGGCCAACTTCCTGATATGGCCACCCTGCGTGGAGGTGAAGCGATGCACTGGCTGTTGCAACACCAGCAGTGTGAAGTGCCAGCCATCACGGATACATCACAGAAGTGTCAAGGTGAGCAAAGTGCAGAGCCCTAAGAGGGTCTAAAAACTCCATGGATTCTCTTGGCTGTTCTGTATGACCTGGATTTTTATTATCAAGATCAGCTAGAATGCTTCTCTCCATTTCGAGGGAGCAAATGGCCTTTTCAACTTGCATGATCATTGGAAAATCTTGGGTTTGGTTTTGATTTACTGTGAGGGTGGTGAGACACTGTCCCAGGTTGCCCAGGGAGGCTGTGGCTGCCCCAGCCCTGGCAGTGTTCACAGCCAGGTTGGCTAAAGCCTTGAGCAACCTGGTGTGGTCTGAGCTGTCCCTGCCCAGGGCAGGGGGTTGGGACTAGATGTTCTCTAAGCTCCATTCCAACCCCTAAAATTCTATGATTCTATGCCTTTCACAGGATTCCCTTTAGGTTTTGTTCTTTTGCAATGAAAATAAAGTGGGTTGTGTCTTTCCCATGATCTCGCACAGCACAAATCTTAACTTTAAGAAGATAAAATGACTCAAGGGGCATTGGACTTAAAAAATAAATAAATCACAGTATGGAATGCTGTTTTCTTAATTAAATATTATGCAGCCTAAATTGGGCTTTTATATTTGACAACATAACACTTTTGATCTGGAAAAATGTGTTTCAAATTATCTTACCCAAGGGATAGAAGACTCAACAGCTTCATGCTTTATTTACTCATTAGAGAAAATCCCTATTGCAACTTTCCAGTAAATATTACGTGAAATATTTATGTTCATTTGGCTTCACTCTGTTCTAATTTTTATCAGTATTTAAACAAGTACTGTTGATCTACATCTGTGTGTAGGAGATTAGGCTTACACTTAGCATTCATGTTGTGAAGACTCTCAGTTCTTGTTGCCCTGAGAATTTTAAGAGCAGAGTTTAAAAAAAAACCCAGCACATTCTTGAACATAAAATTGCTCAGCACAGCACAGTGATTGCTGTACTTGCAGTGGATTTCTTACTGAGAAAAGGTGCTGTTCTCTTAGTGCTGTAAGTCCTAGACAGAAAATAAGGCACCTAAGCCATTTCATTGTTTTCCTTACATGCAGACATGGCTCTGAGCAGGGTTTCTTTTTCTCTTCTGTTTCTGAACATCTGAAAAATGTTTTCACATCCAAAGAAGCTGGAGAAACATCTGAGCAGATTCCCTCAGTGTTTCCAAAAATAATCATACTTCACACTTACTTTCTGCCTTGCCTTTGTGGGGTATGCTTTGCAGAAACAATGAAGAATGAGCTAAAAAGTGGAATCAATAATTATTTGAAGGTTCAGAACAAGCTGGGGAGGTTGAAGGACTACAGTAGTGAAGCCTTTCAGAATGGGAGCTAAGCAGCAAAGTGCCTCAGGTTATAATATTTAGTGCTCTTGCCTTTGGGTTTGATGTGGTTTCCAGTTAATTTTGTGTAGCAGCTAACGTGTACAAAGGATTGCATTTCTCTCCTGAAAGAGTAATGATGACGAGGATGGGTGAGTTAGGGGTGTTAGTGTCTGTTACAGAGAGATTTCCTTTCCTGTCTGCAGAAGTATTTCAGTAACATCTACGGATTGTTGCTTTTGCCTACTGAGATCAAATATTTACCAAGTACCAGACTAATTTATTTGGAGGGGTTCTGTGCCCAGCAGAGACTTGAGATGTGTGTTATGAACTTGCCATTGGTACCTGTGTGTGATATTGCAACCTTAAACTTCTTTCCTACCCCTGCAGTCATGGAGGGGATTATAGATACAGAGAGAGGTTTGGCTGTTGACTCCTCTGCTGCTGGGGACACTGAGCATTCCCTAGAAGCTGCAAACTCCCTGACTGGCAGCAGCTTTGCAGGATATCATTGCTGGGGCTGCTTCCCCAGCACACAGAAGGAATCTTAGTCTCACGTTCAGTCCCCTGATACAGTTGTAGTGCTTTTAGATTTGCATTCATTTTAGTAGGGCACAAGCTAAAAGTAGGCTCAGCTGAGCAGCTGCTTTTCGTGGCTGTGTAAATATATTGCCACCAGCAATATCAATACACGTCAGCCAGCTTTGGAGGGCAGTTTTTTTTCCTCCAAGCTCCAAGACTGCTCCAAACAGTCATTAAGTAGCAAGGAAAAAAAGGACAAGAGGTCAAGCAGGAACAGGATGTTCATTGTAAAGGTTGTAGGCTGACCCCACTGTCACACCAGAACTCTCAGAACAGAATCCATATTTATGCCCTCCAGAGTCAGATCCTCTTGTAGCTTTGATGTAATTGATGGTTTTCTGAGCCTTTTGCCAATCCTACATTTCGAGCTGAATGTCTGCTCATGCCATTAAGTAGCTGGCCCAGAGAGAGGGTGGCTGGAAAGGTAAGGGGAGAGGTTTTGGAGAGCCTTCTCAGCTATTCTGCAGTGAAGCTGGAAAGCCAGCTTGTGTTTTCCCCTGATGTCAGACTGCATAAAGGCTCTCTTTTGATTGAACATTGAAAAGGCTTTCCCCACTTCCTCCTCATTGACAAGGTAGTGAGATCATAGCTGGCCCATTCACACTAGAAAAATGTTCATCCAGAAAGGTCAGCAAGTGGGTTTGCATCATCCAACAGGCAAAAGCAAAGGGTGATTTCTTTGTCTTGCTGAGGGCCACTGTAATCAAGGTTGAGAGACAGCCATGGCACTGTGGGAGGAGCAGTGGAGGTGCTTGTGTGGGGCATTCCATTCTTGGGACATGATTCAAAGGCTGGAGGGTTTGGGCATGTTTTTGCTTCACTTTCTCTGAGCTTTGGTCAGTGAAAGTACCATTAATAGGCTTGTGGAATTGGAGCTGTAGGGAGGCTCCAAGCCAGGGGTGAGGGTGGAACAGCTTCCTTGAAGTGGGTCTCCTAAGGTTTCCCATTCCTGGGGTGTGTTAGTGAAAGGTAGGTTTGCCTTTGAACCCATGAGAGCACAGCCTACTGGCCCTAAAGATAGCTCGTTCAGCAAGCTGCACCTGCACAAAATCAGACTGAAATGAAGAGGCTGGTTGGGAGTTGCTCCTTGGTAGGAACAAAAGGATTGCATTTCTCTCCTGATAGAGTGATGGTGACAAGGATGGGTGAGCTAGGGGTGTTGGTGTCTGTTACAGAGAGATTTCCTTTCCTGTCTGTAGAAGCATTTCAGTAACATCTGCAGATTCTGTTGCTTCTGCCCAGCGAGATCGAGTATTTACCAAGTACCAGAGTGTAATTTATTTGGAGGGGTTCTGAACTGAGTGTGCCCAAGAGGTTTTTTTGTACTATTTAGCATGATGATGGTGGTGGGTTTGGTCCCAGCAGCAAAAAAAAGGTTATACTGTAGAGTAAATCCTGCCTGTACTGCTAATTAATAGCCAAGCTGAACATTCTGGTTGGTGCAGCAATGCTTATTTCCAAACTAAGAGCTAAATGAGTCCATCTACCTCAGCTTGTGCTGGGCCTTGAGCCATAGCCTTGTCAACTTCAACCATTTCTGAATATCCAACGTTGAGGTGATCTGGGGAAATTGAACCTATATTCTTACAGTACGTTAATGTGAGTGAAGGTAAGATACAGAGGAAAAGCTGGAAGGGAGGGAATGCAGGAGCAGCTCCTCAGCTGTCATCAGGGAGTTGTTCAGAGGTTTGGAGATGGAAAAAAGGCAGGAATTCAGGACAAGTTGTTCAGCAGAGCTACACATCCTCTGAGGTTAAAAAGGCCTTGCAGAACAAATGGGATGTGTAGGTGAAATGGCTCTTCGTCATGTTTGCAGGTTTAAGGACATTTATCTTCCACGACTGTTTCTGTCATTAGGACTTTGATTTAGCTGTGGCTAAACTGGAGCTTACAGCCAGCACTCAGTGGGACCTGCAGGCAGGAGCCAGGTATCAAAGGTCACTTTAGGAATGGGAGAAACAAAGGAAGCAATGATTCAGGTGAGGGTGGAAAAGCAGCAAGGAGCCTTTTGAGAAGCCCTGTCAGCCTGGCAGAGACCTGGGGTCTGGCTGCTCTGCTCAGGGAGGAAGGACACAGAAGAGGACCCTGAGGGTCCTGTACCCTGTCTGGGGATGGGACAGGGCTGGAGTCCCCACCTGGAGCTGGGACAGGGCTGAAGTCCTCTCTGGAGCTGGGACCGTGCTTCCCTCTGCCCTGGGCACTGGCAGAGACCCTCTGTATCCTGGAGCAGTGACAGCTCCATCCCCTTTAGTGTCAGACCCTAGTGTACCCCTGAGCTTTGCATCTCTGCAGGGACAACTCTCCCCACCATGACTTGCAGTGCATGAGGCTTTCCCGGGGCAGGAATTTTGCCAGAGCAGTGCCCTGTAGCTGTGTTTGCAGGGTGGGTGGCTGCCCCCTCCCCAGCACTCCCCATGCCACCTGTGCCAGGCAGGCAGCACAGCTGGCATGGTGTGCCCTGGCAGGCACCGTGCCAGCCCTGCCCTCCTGTCCCTGGAGCAGTGCCCTGCAGGATCCCTGAGCCTCCCCAGTCCTGTATTCCCTCTTGACTTATGTCTTCCCTGCAGACAGGTTTTCCCGTCATCATAACAGCATGCTTTTATTTTAATACAGAAGCGATAGATGATTCCAAAAAGTGTCCTCATTCAGTTGCTTTTTGGGTTTGTTTGCCATCCAGTATTTAGGTATCAGCCACATGAGTTCTGTTATTAGGAGGTATTTGCTGTGTTGAGACTTCTCTTGCAAGTTGAAAGAGGGAAATTTAGGTTAGATCAGGAAGAAGTTTTTTTCCCGTGAGGGTGGTGAGACACTGTCCCAGGTTGCCCAGGGAGGCTGTGGCTGCCCCAACCCTGGCAGTGTTCACAGCCAGGTTGGCTAAAGCCTTGAGCAACCTGCTCTGGTGGGAGGTGTCCCTGCCCAGGGCAGGGGTTGGGGCTGGATGATCTCTAAACTCCATTCTAACCCCTTACCAATCTATGAGTAAGTTCCTTCCCATGATAAATTTGGCTTTGTGGTAAGGTGTTTAGGAGATTTCTGTGTACAGTTTTGGTTTTTTCCCTGCTATTAGTCCCCGATTTCATCTCTCCCAGAGAAGCTTTAGCAAGCATGTTCCCATGATGTTTCCATTAGGCCACATATTTTTACCAGATCTAATTTTCATTTTTGCTTAGCCCCTACACTGCATTGCAGGATGTAGCCCTGGAGTCTACATTGATGCGAGGATGGTGCCACTGATTATACACCATTTAAGCTAGTCAGTTATTTCACTGTCTTTCTCTTAAAGAGTTTTTATATGGTGATATTTTGTGGCTTTGGAGGATTTGAGGATTTTCATTGCATTAGAGAAAAAGGAAAAGAAGTTTGTTGATTTGTTGAGGACTGACCACCTCAAGGCATTGGGTAATACACTTGAGAATAACTGTGCAAGATAAATACCAGGGAGAAAAGTAGAAAGAAGAACAAAAGATCTTTACACAAGGCCAAATGCCATGATGTTGGCACAGCTATCCCTGTGTATACCCACTGCAAATCTAACCTGCAGCCTTCATCGTTGTAGATCAGCCTTGTGTGTGGCATCAGGTGCCAACAGGTGATACAAACACTGCAGCTTATCTGGTTTGTGCTGCTTCGGCTTGAATATTTGCAACATCTTACAAAACAACATTCCTTTAACTTGTCTAGCATGAAGTAGGGCAGTGGAACATGTGCTGGATTGTATTTTAACTGCAGTAGTGATACCCAGCTTTAAACTGCTGCATAAATTCATGATGATCTTCTTCAAAGTATTATCTTTTCTGTTGTTTTTTTTTTTGCTGTGGTTTAATACCAAATAGGCACAGGAACTGCAGTTATCTTTCAGCTGGAAAAACCAATGAACACAGACTGAGGAGGCTTTAAAAAGCTTGATTACAGTTTATTTTTGTTGCATGTAATTTTCAATGAGACTGGTTTATTCTAACAGCTGTAATAAGCATGGCAGATCTGAAAGCTGTTTCGTGATTGCTGGGTCTCTTTCTTTGTCTCTGATGCTGGAGGTGTCTTAATTACTGTTTGTTTTCATAAATTTTAAGGATTAGTCATCCTTTGATGCCAGATGACTCGGTTGTACCATGCATTTTCAAATCTTCGTGTTCAAAGACTTGATGGAGTTGGGTTCTGATAGGAGATCTTGAAACACACTGCTTTGACCCAGAGTTAGGCTTTCAGCTAAAGCCTTCTTGTATGTCCCAGTTAGCTCTTAAGCTATATGGAGATCTGGCAGTTTTGGAAGATGCCTTTTAATGTGGATACTTTAGTTATTGCATCTGTCTCTGGAACTTTTGTTTGCTGGGTAAATGAAAATCATCTCCAGGTCCTGTTGACATAAGGGGTGGTGACTAAAACTCGTTGCTCTGTGAAAGCAAAGGCAGATCCCTCACTGGCTTGAAAACCCCCAGGGCTTTCCTCTGTCTTCTGTCACTGTCATTCAGAGGTCCTTGACAGTTGTGTCCACAGAGCCAGAAGAGTGTTCCTGGGAACTGGTGGGAATGTGGTGGGTTTTTCCAGCCACCACTCTCGTTTTGTGACACTGTTGTTCCAGTTTTGGAAAGGCAAGGGAATGATTTTGATAGTGTGAAGATTGATTTGGAGCATGAAATCCCCATCAAACACACAAGTAAACCATGACCAGGAGAGTGTAGTGTAACTGTAGATACTTTCTTTGGTAGTAACTGGAGGTTTTGGTTGGACCAGGCTTTGCAATGTGACTTTTGTAGAGACAATCAACCTCTCCTGTCCTTCTGCTCCCTTACCTCTGTTACAGTGTGTACAATGTGTGTACATGTAGTTTTGTTTGCTGGGACAGCCACATTGCAGTGCCCTTTTGTCAAATGCTGAGTAGGGCTGAAAAACAGTGATTTCATTTCAAGCAAATGATTGTCACCTATTCTGCCGTGTTTAACACAACTGAAAACTAAACATTGGGCCCCTTACCAACTCTCCAGCACTCTCTTTGCCCAAATTATGCCATGTTCCCTTGCATGGCCATGATCATCATGCCTGTTACAGTCAGCACAAGTCAGTGCTAACATCCCACAAGCCATCTCAGCACCCCAGAACATCAGTGTTTCTGCCCTCTGCACTGTTCCTCCTCTCCTGTTGGTCAGGATGTCTTCATGTTTGGTATCTCCCCACCCCAGTGTCCTTTTGTTCTGCATTAGTTTCCTTCAGAGGAGAGAGCTGCATGTAGCCAGAGCTGCTCCAGCATGCTCCTTCGTCCAACCTCACCTTGCCCTCCAGACCTTTTCATTGTAAGGGTGCCATAAGTTCAGTTGGAAGCAACTGGATGGACTGGAGAGAAATAGCAGCTATCAACAATAAAGCCAAAGGCTGGATCCAGTTAGTGACTAGTAGTTCCTTTGGACCTAAAGACATTGCATGGGACCTGTTGTAAACAAGTCCCAGCTCATTGCAGGAAGGGAGTAGGAATGAGGTTGCAGCTTTCTAAGGTGGTGTTCAGGTCCTGGTTCTGTAGAGTTGAGCACTTGATGTTCAGAGGGCTCTGGAGACACCAATTTGTTAGTAACAAAATGTACTACAAACCAACCTAATGCCTTTACTGTTAGCCTTTAAGAACAGTGGTCAACTTGTACAGAAGATCATGCTGGAAGTGGCACTTTACAACAACCACCACTGAGTTGAATCCCTGTAGAAGTTCATTGTGGTGTGTGTGAAAATTGAGGTGCTTCAAACTTCAAAAATGAATGGGAAATTGTTTTATTTCTTGGGGGTAAAGAAAATTGTTTCAAACTGCTGAACTTGAGTAAACAAATAGTCTGTGCAATAAATACTTACACGATGCACAATTAAGATAAAAGGTGATTAGTATGCTAAGATTTTATATGGGCTTGGCTACCTGAAAAATAGAGGTATATAGTTATCTGTCTGCAGTTGTGAACTATAACCATGTTCATGTGTCTCAGTACATGCCTCATCGTATTTTATAGGTGGCAAAAGTGGAATATGTTAGAAAAAAGCCAAAATTAAAAGAAGTTCTGGTGAGATTAGAAGAGCATATGGAATGCACCTGTACATCATCAAATACTAATTCAGATTATAGAGAAGAAGAAACTGGTATGTTTTCCTTTTATTTTTGCATTAATGCTGATTTCATATGGACCTTATATAT